CTTCAAAAAGTGTGGCTGGTTCTGCACAAAAACTTTACCACTATAGTCAAATCTCATTTGCTGGTGTCAGGCAGTCAGTTTCCAGGTACCAAAGAGAAAAGCTTAGAAGAATTGCTATAAAAGTATTTATAGAAAGGGTACAGGGAAATTATGTTATGGCAGCAGTAAAATGCCCGAAGACAAGATGCTAAGTAAGGACTGATAACATTGTAGATTCTTCTTTGAATTTTGTCAAGAATCTTTAAATACTTAGCAGAAGCACTATACCAGATGTAGCGGCAATATTCAATGCACAGATGAATGGTAGATATTTAAACGGGCAAGGTAGATTTTGACGAGAAAAATTGTGTAGCACAACATGGTGAATCAACATTTTTTGCAGCAGACCTAGCAATCAGTGGTGGAGTGGTTCACCGGAATACTGGAAAATTTCCCCATGGGCCCCAAAGTGATGGTCCATCATTTTAGAAATAACCGAAAAAAGTAAAAACAAAAGAAAAAGAAAGATATTTTATAGATGCTAGTAGGATTTAAGTAAGGCTTCTTTGATGGTATAATTTCTTTTGGTAGATAATAAAAATTCAAATTTTGCTTTGTAAATTACTCAGATTGGTTGTTCAATGATTTTCTTTTGTATTATGAAATTATTAAAATTTTCTAGTATTTGTATTACACATGCATTAACATAAATAAATAAAACAATATTGAATAGATATAACATTTGCCTAAAACCTTTACACTTATTTTATTCCCTTGACTATGTTTTCGGATTAAGTGGGTCTTTTTGACTGGGCCCTTTTACAAGTCTTCCTGGTAGAAAATTTCAATCCAGTCTGCCACTGCTAACAATTGGTTCAATTGTTTCACTTCATGTCAGTGGAAAAAGTGAAACTTCGTGGGTGCTAGTAAATTACTTTCCTGAATATACTGGGGGGAAAAATGATTCTCTAATCTGACAATTTAGCACTGGTAATTAATCTTACAATCATCATGTGAAAAAAAAAGTTGCTTTCATGTCAAATTTATCAATTTTTAAATAATTCTGTAGACACCTGCTCTTGAGGTAAAAGTTCTCATATTTAGTAAATAAAATACTGAATTTGATTCTTTACCATCCAAAATGTGAAGCTCAGTGCCTGGTTAGTCAAAGTTTAAATAAAACTCAAAAATCATTTTACTATGCTTATCACGTAAAACTTGCAAAACACATATAAGTTCAAAGTTCAAATCTCAGAGCTTTTTTCTAATAACATGACATTGTACAAAACAATATTGAACCTAATCTGAAAGAAAACTGAAAAGTTCTCAGCCCCACTAAAAAGCAATTCCTTAAAAAAATGTTTAACCATTTAGGGAAGTTGGTTGTGATGAGACCCTTTCAGTACCCCTTATTAATTCAAAACTGTTCGCTAATTCCAAGCAGAATCAAATAAAACATAGTTAACCATAATTAATAAATTTATTAGTAATTCTTTCATCACAACTATTTAGTCATTAGTAATAGTATAATAAAATTTTATAAGATGAAACACTGTGAACCAATAATTTTTTATCAGTATTTCTTTAATTTTAGTTACTTTTCACTGCAACTATTGAAACTCAGTCTATAGCTGATTTTCTCAATTGGTGCACCCAGGTGTACTAATGCACCCTGAAATGTAGCCAGGTATGCTCAAATTTAATAGAAGAGTAATTTATGAATAATTTTTTCAAAGATCTTTATTTAAAAAAAAAAATAGACACCAGTCACATGGCTTCTATGTCTAAGTAAAATCTTTGTAATTTGATATTTTAAACTCACTGCTAAATTCCTTAATCTTTAAGGATGAGTAGATAATCATTTCCCTTTAGTCTTTTTCAAAGGATTTAATGTTAAACCAAATTTCATATTTTCAAATTTTATGACTAATTCTACTTATAAAAATTTAAAGTGTGTCCCAGAGTTTTACAAGTCTACCCAGAAGTAAAAAATGTTGAGAAACTCTGATTTATACCTATCAGTAATAATTTCATTTTTAATTTTTATTAGATAAAGCATTGTCAATAACTTAATTGTTGATAGTATTTATTTCATCTTAATTTCATTTGCTTTTTATTGCAACTCATTCAGTGGCTGTTTAGAGCAAAATCTTGCTGATATTTTAATATATCATCAACCATTATTAATTTGTGACATTTCCTTCATGATTGGCTCCTTATACTACTCCTGAGTACCTGACTCTAGCTGCCATGCTTCATTTTCACAAGAGTCAGATCAAACCAAAAACGGAGTATGGCAGCCATATTTAAGCAGGAGTTGCCCAAGCCTCTCTTTCTAATCTTGACAGAGTTCAAAAGGGTTTATGGTGCCATGTAGTTGAAGAATTATTTTCCACTAACAATCCCTTTCCCAAAGACGAAATATCACATGCATATCAATTGCTATTTTCATGAAAAATATTCTGATGTGATATATTCCCTATTTTCACCAGTTCAGACTTTTACAGCTAAGATTTGTCATGTCATATATACAGGGGAAGGAATATATTCATCAAAAGAATCAAAATTAACCCCACAAAAACAAAAGTAAACCCCTAGATTCACCATCTTTTACACCAATGTGAAGTGTCTGTGTTTCAACTTTACAAAGGTGGAACTCCATCTTCTGGAGGTCAAAACAAATGATATGGATCCCTTGAGTTCTGGAGAGTATCTAACTAAATTCTCAATACAGGTAAAGCATCAGTACCTACGATTATAAACGGCCATGAGGTTATCTCATCCTTGTCAGATAAGGCAAAAATTTTGACAAAAATATTTGCCATGTTAAATGACAAGGGTCATCCTCTTCAACTCTCTTACAAAGCACAAACTTAGTAATATTTCTATCACAGCCCATGAAGTCTCAAGACTTATCAAAAGCCTTGAGTCTAAGAAGGCTACCAGTTCAGATACAATCCAAATCATCCTGAAGAGTACTAGCTCTAAGTTATCTCCAATCTTACAAAAAGTGTTCAAATCTTGCCTAAAGGAGAAACCTTTCCCAAGGCTATGGAAGGTGTCAAGTGTTTGAGCAGTTTTCAAGAATGTAGGTGAGCACTCATCCCCTTCTTAATATTGGCCTATCAGTCTCCTCAGTGTTATCAACAAAATCTCTGAGGCTATCATCAACAAGAAAGTTATTGAACAGTGACAACCTTTTGAGCAACAAATAATACAGATTTCAATCCATACAGACAACTGCTGATATCCTGTCATTACTCACAGAATCAGTGAAGCATTGGCTAATAAACACATTATGAGGACACATTAGAAATATCAAAGGTCTTTGACAAGCTGTGGCCTAGGGGTTTGCTACACAAGCTCTCCAGCTCTGGAATCACTAGAAGAGTTTTCTTAATTATCAAGTCCTTCCTAACAGGCAGGTCCATAAACGTAGATATTAATAGTCAACTCGATGAAACTCAGGAAATCAATGCAGGCAGGTTCATTTCTTGGTTCAACCCTCTCCCTATTTTATATTAATGAACTAAGAGCATACTCCAATCTCTTGTGAATATCTATACAGATGATAAAATAGTATATGGGTGCACCTTCCAAAATCTAAATGAGAGCTTAACATCTGATCTCCCTTTTGACATAGCTTTAATCACTCAAATCAAACTTGTAAATGTTCTATCATCGCCAAGCAGCCTCTGAATTTCCTTCTATCAAAATGAACAGATGTTCTCTTAAGGAAGCCCTTTGCCTTGAATGCCTATTGGGGCTTAAACTCACCCAGACCCCAAGTAGAACTAGTATATATAATTCATCAGTAAAACTGATGGAAAAATAGACAGTTCCCTCGACCACTCCAGTAAGTACTTGACTTCTCCTCCTCTTGCTATGCTCTACCTTTACAAGAACCAATCAGGCCATAAATGGAGTACTGCTGCCATATGTGGGCTGGAGTTACCCAGTCTTCACTTTCTAGTCTTGATAGAGACCAAAAGCATCTACACGGCCTTGTGGGTAATGGATTGCTTTCCCCACAGTTAAAAAGTTGAAAGTGTCACTACTCTATCACTATTTTCATGGAAAATGTTCAGATGAACTACATTCCTTAATTTCCCTAATTCTAACCCTCCCAGCTAAGGCCCATCACACTGTGTACATTGAGGTAAACCATCCTCATTCCTTTCATATTCCATTAGTAAGGAGTAAGTTCCACTCAGCTTTTACTCCCAAGAACTGCCACTTTGTGGAACAGAATCCAAGGAGGATGCTTTCCTGACCCTAGCAATCTGAAACTCTTCAAGTCTAGGGTTAACCGTTATGTTTCACACATCAACTACATCCATTACTCTTAATGCTCACACAAGAACCACTTTTAGTAACCTTTTACCTTAAGTGGCCCTTGGGCTTTGTATATGATGAATATTAATTAAAAAAAAAAGTCTACAGTCAATCATTATATATCCTACTTATCCTCATAATCTACAATTTTTACATACATAAAACAACCTCATTCAGCAACACTCTACCTTGAGTTAATCTCTAGCCTTGTATTGAGCATAAAAAAATAAATTTTTGTTGCTTTTCATTGAGCATATTCAGACCATCAGTTTATGGTCAACAGTTATTGTCCTATCCTACACTTCATAATCCCTAAAAACATAAATCAAACCAATATGAATTTTGTTCTTTTAATTGAAAAAGGGTTAAGTCTCATATATTCTGTCAGCTGACCACACAGTCCCTGTTTGGGACAGGGTTATCTCAGCAAGCATTTGACTACTGGTCCCCACATCAGATAAGCTTCAAACCTTTCCAGGGCAATGATACCAGCTGCTCTTTCATGCTCTTATCTAAATATTCAATTTCCTCAGGCGCAAAGTGAAGTGGGAGGGTGTTTTTAAAAATTGGTAAAAGATTATAGGGGTGGTGGGATTGAATGGTGATGAAGGTGGGTGAAATCAATGTGTTCTGTCCAGCTCATATTCACATTTCAACCCTTGCCAATTTGTCCGATTTCTTTCTGGTCAATTACCAGAACTGACCACCAAACAGATTATTCCAAATGTTGCTTGTCTGATCAAAAAGAAAGAAAAAAAGAAAACAGATGATCTAAGCTGTGAGTCATTTGGAAAATGAGCCAGCACAAGGTTCTCACACATGGAAGTGACAAAAATGATAAGAGATACTGATAGATAATGACCAGAAAGAGAGAGGCAGACTGTGATGGCCAGAAGGAGCTGAGAGAGAGAGAGAGAGAGAGAGACAGACAGACAGATGAATGGATTACTAAAATAAGAGAGAGAGAGAGAGAGAGAGAGAAAGAGAGAGAGACAGACAGACATATAGATAACCAGAGAAAGCGAAAAGTAGATGTATGGATAACCAGAGAGAAAGAGATGGTTTATTGAAAAGAGGAAGAGAGAGAAAAGTGGATGAATGGATGACTAGAAAGAGAGAGTCAGGTGGATGGATTACCAAAGTGTGAGAGAGACAGATGTATGGATAAGGAGAAAAAGAGAGGGAGAGAAAGAAAGAAAGGCAGACATGTAAATAACCAGAGAGAGAGAAAGAGATGATTTACTGAAAAGAAGGAAAGAGAGAAAAATGGGTGAATGGATGAGTAGAAAGAGAGAGGCAGATGGATAAATTACCAAAATGAGAGAGAGATAGGCAGATGTATGTATAACCAGGAAGAGAGAGAGAGAAATAAAGAAAGGCTGATATATGGATAAACAGTGACAGAGGGAGAGAGGAAGATGTATGGATAACCAGGAAGAGAGAGGGAGAGATAAAGAAAGGCTGATGTATGGATAAACAGTGACAGAGGGAGAGAGGAAGATGTATTGATAATGAGAAAGAGGAAAAGAGATGGTTTATTGAGAAAAGAAAGAAAGAGAAAAGTGGATGAATGGATAACTCAAAAGAGAAAGACAGATGAATGAATGACTAGAAAGAGAGAGGTTGATTAAAGAATGAACAGAAATAGAGATAAAGAGGCATATTGAGAGATGACTACAAGGAGATAGAGAAACTTAGTAAGTGTTGACTACAAAGAGAGAGCAGCTTACTGAGTGATGACTACAGAGAGTGAAAGAGATAGACGGAGAGATGACAAGAAAGAAAGAGAGAATCAAATGGATGAGCAGGAGAGACAAACAGCTGGAAGGGTATCTGGAAAGAGATGGCTGACCACATAGAGAAGGATATGAATGGATTGCCAGAAACAGGAGGAGGGATAGAGGGATGGATGACCAGATAGAGAAATAATGAGAAGCAAACTGATGAATGACCAAAATGAGAGAGAGACAGATGCCCCAAAATAGATAAAGAAGCATATGGATGTGATCAAAACATGGTAGATATATGACCAAAATGAAAAAGATAAACAAAGATACTTTAATAGAATAATGCAGACAGCAGACCAGAGACAGATAAAGAAAAATGAGCAAAGTATATGCAAATAAAATTATATAGCGTATTCATCAAATGACCAGAATTTAATTTATATATATATATATATATATATATATATATATATATAGAGAGAGAGAGAGAGAGAGAGAGACGCTCTATATATAAAACATTTGGTACCCAGTATAAATCTCACCTTATTTAGCAGTGGAAATAATGAGTTAAAAGTTTCTTTCATAGGACTTGGAATAAATGCTGGTACTATATAGGCATCACACAACTTAAACAACCATGAAAAGAAATTAACAACCCCCTTGAAAATAGCTAAAGAAGTGGCTGAAAACACTTAGAACAAGAGACACAATGGACAATTTTTAGACCCAGTAAATTGTAAAAATGTTTCACAAAACAAAAATTCATCAAATTGACCTTGTTTGTCATATTCAAAAAAACATGTTTAAAAGAAACATTGGTACATGTATATATAAATATATATATATATATATATATATATATATATATATATATTAAATGTATATTTGGGCAGCAACCTTATTTTTTATACATGTCACAATGAATATGACAGACAATGAAAATTTAATTAATTCTTTTTCTTTAGTTTTTACATCATTCTTACATTTATATACAATATAAAAAATTGCTAAAGCAGTGGCCATGGGCAAAAAGCACAATTTTTACAATCTCCATTACTCCCACAAAGATCGAAAATGTAAGATTCCTGAAAACTATATATATATATATATATATATATATATATATATATATATATATATATATATATATATATATAAATAAGCACTTGTCACAATGGAGAATTTTTACACTTTGTTAATCCCACCAAATGTAAAAATGTAAGATGCCTGGAAAAACTATATATATATATACGTGCACACCTCTCTCCTTCTCCCTCTCTATATATAAGCACGTGGAACAATGGACAATTTTTACACTTGCTTACTCCAACCAAATGGAAAAATGTAAGCAGCCTGGAAAAACTATCTTTGCCTGTGTGCTTTCTCCTCTGCCTGGCTTTATCAAGCCAAATGTGAGGAGTTTATTTTGCAACAAGTATTTATAAACTAAAGTAAAAATATTGTTAATTTTTCAGAATTTTTAAATTTAAGAGATGCTCATGAATATTCATCAGGTTAACGGAAAAGTCCAGGTAAATTATGGAGGATGCTAAGTGTTATAATTGCATGTCTAATAAAAAAACGTGAGTAAATGATGGTGAGTTTTTTTTAATGCAATAAAAATGTAAATTATCTAAATATAGGAGAAATATGGTGTGCATGTGTGTACATCATCACTTGATAAGACACCGAGGGTGTTGAAACAAAATAGCTATTTTTGTAGTGATTTTATAACATATTTATGTTATAAATTTGTTTTTCATAAAAAAATAATTATATATATATATATATATATATATATATATATATATATATATATACACATTTTGTTGAAACAAAATGGCTATTTTTTTAGTGATTTTATAACATATTTATGTTATAAATTTGTTTTTATAAAAAATAATTATATATATATATATATATATATATATATATATATATATATAAAACATGGTGCAATGGGCAAATTGTCACCATTTTCTATTTTGCTGTACATGAGTTGTTTTTTTTGATTTTGTCAATGACACATTATAGTAGGATCATGCTGTACTACTTGCCATTTGCATCAGAAGCTCCAATATGACCATTTCAGAGTATTTCGGTGCCAATCTGAGGACAGTGCAGAGTATTCAGAAAGAGTTGGATGAAATATCCAGTCAACATCATCATGGTATTTGGATTGAACACTAGTGATGGTGACGTTATGCCTCCATTCATTTTTTTTTAAGAACATAACTCTCATTTTCAAAAGAATTATCAAAATTAGTTTGATAAGTATTTCTTCACTTGTTCTTTTCTCTGCCAACACTTGTGACATGCCAGTGATAATATTTTTTTGTTTACATACCAGAACATAGTGTAAGGACATGCACTAAACATATATATTTTCAAAAGATGATGAGTGAATAGTGAACATTAACAAACCCAGATAACATTCGAATTCGTTTTACAAATTCTGTCATATATATACTCTACTCAAGTCTCCCGTCAAATTTGATGTATGAGGGTCAAGCAGATCAGTTTCTAGGAAACCGACAACAGAACATGAGATTTAATTATAGGGGTGGAGGTTTCGTGCAGGAGCATCCACACTTTTTGGAGGGACGAATACAGAGACCTGGTGCACTACGTGTCACAAGGTCCCCAAACAACCCACCGCAGGTTTTAAATTTAGAGTTTTCCTTCTCCTAGACCAGTTGCCATTCAAGGCTATAGAACCCAGTCTGTCCTGCTATTTACTCATAGCTGGAGGGAGAAGAAGAGGATTCACACCATTCCCAAGGGTATTAGCATGTAAGTGAATGTAATGGATTCAACTGAAATTCGAACACAGCTCTCAGATTCCTTAATCCAAGCCGCTATCCATTACTCCACCGTACCTCCTTGAATATGTATGTGTATGTATATATGTTTTATTAAAGATCACTGACAAGGTACTGCAATTGATTTTTTATTTAATTTTTTTTGTGTTTGTACAAGTGCTTTCTTTTCTGGATATAAAGAGTTTAAAAACTGTCCAAAAGTGCTGCATATCCAAGAGCTTCAGCTATACTTTTAACCAAAGATGATTTTTATATTTTTTATTTTTAACTGAATGTATGGGCTTTTATGTATGTGCTTGAAGTTATAAGAATATTTTATTTTCCAAACATGGTCAGCACATTAGGACCATGTTCATAGTTATTGTTACTGAGTTTTGGCTCTTCCATTTTTATTATTAGTCCATTATTTTTAATCTTTGTTTACATGTAGATGAGACTATTATACTTGTATTTTCTACTAGTATGTTGCAGATGGTGTTTGGATAGTTTTTACACACTTTGTGTCAAAAAAAAGAAAACACTTGCATGAACACAAAAATATTAAATAAAAAGCTTAATCGCTGTACCTTGTCAGTCTGGACTACTGTCCAAATATATATATATATATATATATATATATATATATATATATATATATATTTACAAATTCATGAATTATTCACACAAAAACAAATGCAAAGGTTAATGATTTAATTGGCGAGAAATCCATCATCGCAAACAATTCAAATAATATACAAAAACCTCCGAATCCGTTATGAATGAAAAGATCCTTGTTTCTATAAATTTCTGCCGTATTAGTTCTTATTTTTTTTACTACAAGCTTTCGTCTGTTCCTACAGACATCTTCAGGTATGGAATAGATGTTGTTCTTGTTTTTTCTCTTAGTAATAAGAGGACAACGAAAATATATGTATTGTTGTATCCGAAAATGCTATTGAAAATGAGTTATTGTTTTTTTTGAGCGCAGTAGCAACGCTGAGTTTGATTTTAAATTTTTTTTTTAAAGTTGTGCGTTCATGTACAAATATGGTGATAACAAATTTTTTTTTACTGGTAAATTTTCTGTCAAAGTGGCATGAACTATATTGTTCAATAATTACAGTAATGTCGCACTTATTATCCAAAAAAGTCGCACTTGGATCAGTTATTTTAATTACGATAAACGTGCAATCAATTTACAAATTCATGAATTATTCACACAAAAAACAAATGCAAAGGTTAATGATTTAATTGGCGAGAAATCCATCGTCGCAAACAATTCAAATAATATACAAAAACCTCCAAATCCGTTATGAATGAAAAGATCCTTGTTTCTATAAATTTCTGCCATATTAGTTCTTATTTTTACTACATATTTATCTGTTCCTACATATGTGTGTGTGTGTGTGTGTGTGTGTTCTTGTGTTTGTGTACAAAAACAGAATATAGGAATATTAAGATATTCAAATACACAGTATGCTAAATGTAATTTTAAAGGGTTAAAAAAAAACATGTTCATTCATTAAATCTAACACTTAAAAAATACAAAATAATGTCAGACCCTACGTAAAATCTATTAATCCCTTTAGAAATTAATATTCTACATTTCAGAAATGCAAAAAAAAAAAATGTTGGGCTTTCAAAAAATTCCAGACAAGAAAAATTTTTTTAAAAATGGATATATTGAACATTATTTTGAAATTTTTAGCTGAATTTCAAAAATTTACTGGGATTGAAAGATGACAAGTTCAAACCATGCCAGAATGTACATTTTCTTCATTAATATATAAAAATGCACAAGTCACTAGATACAAATTTATATTGTTAAAAAAAATTATATCTCTGCTCAGATATGTGTATCCATTAAATTTTAAAAATATATATATATATAAATTAATTAATATATATATATATATATAGTATATGGTATAAAAAATAGTACTTGGATATTTTTAACATGAGCTATAATTTATATATTAATATTAAATATACATTTTTTTTCTTCATGGTAAAAAATAGATTTAAAAGGTTTTATGAATATATATATATATATATATATATATATATATATATATATAAATATTCACATATATATATATATATATATATATATATATATATATATATATAAAATATATATATAAATATATATATATATATATACAATACACACATATATATATATATATATATATATATATATATACACACACACATTTATATATATATACACACACACACACATATATATATATAAACATAACACACACACATATATATATACATAAATAAACAGGATATTTATATACATATATATACACATAAACAATAAACATATATATATATATGTACACATATACATTTATATATATAATATACATATATATATATATATATATATATATATATGTATATACACATATATTACATACATATATATATATATATATATATATATATATACATGTA